TGTTAAATATGAAAGATAACAAAATATATATCTAAATATTGATAATTTGTTGTTACAAAATAAAATAACAAATATCATAACATATTATTGCATTAAAAGTTATTAATAATAGTCGTGACACTTTATTTGCACTTAATCTTGAGCGTTTTTCATAAATTGACCCTGCCTTCTTTAGAAAATATCCGCTCAACATCTGGTTTCACAATTGTCTCCGGTGAAAATCACTAAACAAGTAGGTAGTAATATTTTACCAGTTCGGAACTTTGAATCGTGCAATACAATGCAAATGGACATCATCTGGGCAGCATCTGGACTACAGACAGAGAGTAAGACAGAGAATCGGTACCGGGATTCTATCGATACGATTTAATTTAATTTCATCTTTTCTTGATACGAATTTGCGTCCACAATCAATCAGGCGATTTGAAATAAGTCCAACAGTTTTTCAAAAACTTGATTGTAGTGGATCTTAGGCACAATTTTGTTGCACAACATCGATTGTTCGTTCTTAAAACAATATTTAACAGTGCACGACAATGTGCAATATCATTTGCAATGATAAAAACCCGGTCGTTTGAAGATGATTTTCAAAAGTTTGTAATACATTTTTCTGTAAATTGATGGACGATCCGCATTTTTTTGCACTTAAACTGCTTTAATGTGTGTAATTGTGTGTGCAGTTTAATTGGAAATTTAAAAGAAGGCGAAACTCGAACTGGCATTTAGTACATGAGCACCCTTAACCTAGTATTTGCAGTATCTGCAGCTTCTCCCTTGATAATTTGTTGATTCATTGTTATCAGCGTTATAAAATAAACTGCACCGAACGCAATCATATCACACTCAATAATTGATCAATCAAAATCACTGTCAGTTTAATAACGCAATGTGTATTTGAAAAGTTTACCAGATCTACAGATGCACCCGCACTAAGAGAAAAATGTCGAAAAAAGTGAATATGTGCGTCCCAAACCTCAGGCGCGAAGAGGCCGGAGTGGCAGCTGCCGTGACCGAGAAAAATCGGTTCACCCTCCCATAAAAAGTTATCACTTCAAAAACTGCTGCATAACATATGCGGCAATTTTTCGGAAAATCGATTTCCAAAGTGAACAGAAGACAAATTCCCACTGTGCAAACTGTATTTTACGGCTAAAAAATCTTAATCGTAAGTTGAACTCTCGATCCACTGGTCTTATGAATAGTAAAAAACAAGTTCATATTAAAGCTGCACGAAAAGAGAAATTATTATGTATTATACAATAATACACAAGACTGCGAACACTAAAGATACTGAATCGATTGCGATTCCAAGTTGATTCGAAGATGATTCCGATTCGGTCAAAAATTGTCCGAATTTACCTGTAATCTAGGCACAGCCCCTTAGCCAGTGCTAGCTTGTAAAGATAAAGATCGTATTTTCTATTGATTTTCTAACGCTCATGCTGTTATAGGAGACACAGATAATTCAGTGAAAAAAAAGTCAAAAAAAGATGGTCACATGAGAATAATCTAGCTCGGCCAACATATGGAGAATTTCATAATCTATTTCCCAATTTGCTATAAGTTCCGGAGATACTTCGTGGCAATTTTCGTATGCATATAGAAACATTTAACTATATATTGGACTCAATTGACGAGTTTTTAAAAAACTCCTGTTTACCAACGACCAGTCCAGTCGCCTTGATAACTGGAGAAATCGTGGAAACTTCCAGAAATTTCCTATAAGTGAGTTTTTCTTTTGAGAGATTTTATGAACCACTTTGGGGGATTTTTCGGTTTTTCTTGACAAATTTTCGAAAAATCCTTGTTTAACAACCGCCAATCACCTCGCTTTCGTAACTGAATAAATCCCGAAAACTCCCAGAAATTTAATATCTATTAATATGAGTTGGTTCCCACTTTGTTCGCACATTTTTCCTTGAGTGATATTATGACCCGGATTCTGGTATTTTTGGCTTTTTCTTGTAAAATTTTTGAAAAGTTTGTGTTTTCCAACCGCCAATCGTCTCACTTTAGTAACTGAAAAAATTCCTGGAAACGCTCAGAAGATTCCTATTAAAGTGAGTTTTTCCTCACTTAATGTCGCGTACTTTCTCTTTCGAGGGGAGCGTACTTTCACTTCTTCTTTCTTCTCTTACATTATGGGTCGAATTGAGGAATTTTTGGTTTTCCAATTGCGAATTTTCAAAAAATCCATGTCGTCTAACTACCAATCGCTTCGATTTATTACCGTTTTCCTCATTTAAAGCTAACATTTTTTTAAAAATCCGTCTGTCTTTAACAACGGCCGATCGTTTCCCTTTAGTAACTGAAAACATCCTGGAAACGCCCAGAAATTTCCTATAAAAGTAAGTTTTTCGTCACTTAAAGTTGCGGACTTTCTCTTTTGAGTTATTATGGACAGTCTTGGGGGATTTTTCACTTTTCCTTGACGAATTTTTGAAAAGTCCGTGTTGTACAACGGCTAATCGCCTCGCCTTCGAAACTGAAAAACTCCTCGAAACTCCCAGAAATATCGAATTAAGTGCCTTTTTTCCAACTTAAAGCAGCTCATTTCCTCTTTCCAGTGATATTATGACCCGGATTGTGCAATTTTTGGCTTTTTCCTGACAATTATTTTTTATATCTGTCTGTCTTTAACAGCGGCCGATCGTTTCCCTGCAAAAACTTCGGAAACCTCCCTACATTTCCTATAAAAGTGAATTTTTCCTCACTTAAATCTACGGACGTTCATCTTGAGAGATATTATGGACGGTCTTGAGGGATTTTTCGTTTTTCCTTGACAAATGTTTGAAAAATTCGTGTTTAACAACGGCCAATCGTTCGCCTTCATAACTGAAAAAATCCTGAAAACTTCCAGAAATATCCAATTAAAGTGACTTTTTCCCCACTTAAAGCAGCATATTTCCTCTTTCGAGTGATATTATGAGCCGGATTGAGGCATATTTGGTTTTTCCTTGGCGAATTTAAAAAAAACTCATGTTTGCCAAGTCGCGGATTTTCTCTTTCGAGCCATATTCTGAGTAGGTTTCAGATATTTTTGGTTTTTCCTTTTTTGAATTATTGAAGGTATAGATAGAAGAATTTTTGAAAAATTCCTCTATCTATAACAAATGCCAATTGCTTCCCCTTAGTAACAACAGCCTGAAAACTCCCAGAAAATTCTTGTTAAAGTGAGGTTTTCTGGGGAAATGGGTTAAATGGATTAATTTTAAATGGGCTAAATCAACCGATTTTCTTTTTCTGCAGTTACGTCATGGGCCGCACTCAGGAATTTTTGAAAAACTCGTGTTTGCCAACGGCCAGTCGTCTCACCTTAGTAACTGAAAAAATCCTGGAAACTCCCAAAGAAAACAAAACTGAGTTTTTCAAGCAAACTCAGCCGGGGTAAGTAAGGCAAGGTCGATAGGCAGAGATAACTGAGACAAGATCTTGTGTCTGACATTTAGGTGTAGGATGTAGGGTATATGGAAAATTTACCCTAGTTATAAGCATAAGGAAGATCGGTTATTTGTTCCTGAAGCAAGATAATTTTTTGAAGATTTCAAAAAATTTAATTTATGTGTACCTACCTGATCTTTTGTCCTTAGCAACGTATAGAAACATTATTTTGATGGTAAATTGAAAATGAGGAAAACAGTTTTTTGTAGAATAAAAACATCTGCAGATAGATCATTGTTAAGGTGGTTTTTCAATTCTAAACGAATTTGTGCAAACCATTAATTTAAGTAAGAACTTGGAAGAGGCACTTGAATATCTTGAACCGAAAACGCATGGAAAACGCAATTCAATGGTCTATCAATGCTTTCAATCACACCAATTCTGAGGTTCGTACATTACAACAATATAATGCTTTTATTTATGTCTTTGTAGTCCTGACACAAACAAACTGAGAAGCCTATTGGGATTGTACCAAATAAATTTCAGAACTCACGTAGAACGCTGGCTTGAGCTATCGACGAGCGCTTGTGGGTAAATATGGGCGATCTCCCGCATAAAATGGTGAAAAGAATACTACAAGTACATATAAACTTTTTATACGGGCCTCAAATTCGGAGTTGTGTGCTCCTTTAGAAGCACCATTCGAATAAAGTTTTTTCACATATATTTTTCAGATTATGTAAAAAATTTACCTTTTGTTTTTTAAGAAATTATTATTCCGGTTGGTACGGATTTTACATAACGACTTCTTGGAAATTTCAGTGTTCTCTTTTTTATGAACGATAGGTAAGTTTCTAAAATATTAATTTTGTTACTTAGAAACCAGATTTTTTGTTACGGCGTCAAACTATTTATATTATATTGTATTATTTTCTTTCTTATTACTATAACACACTCCTACCTTATTTCAGGTACAACAGGTCTTTAAAATGTTTCTACTTACCAATAAAACTTTTTTTATTGCAGCTCTGAACTTTTTATAATTAATGTTATCATTTAGGTACTTATTTTGCTAACCTTCACTTACTTTCATGTAAAACAATTAACTTTTAAAATACTTCTATTCGCTAATAAGAACATTTTCTTACAGACTTGAACCGTTCATATTTTAGGATGTTTATTAATTATTTTAATAAGTATATATTTTCAAGCTACTTTGTAAATAACCAAACTAAATTTTGAAAATATCAACTTCTAATTAAGGTATTTACTTGCTGCCTTGAACTATTCATATCGTATTGTATTTATTACTCATTTTGCTAGGACATAATTTTTTTCAGGTTCAGCAAGTCACTTTTTGCAATGTCTCATTCACTTTACTAATTAACGTTTTTACAGCATGCAATGATGATACAGGTGTTCTTCGTGTCGTGTGAATCGCGTTCTTAAATCCGAAAGCAAGTGCTGTATTTATTCTGCTTGCGAACTGCAGAATTTTTAAGTTTTCTATTGGGAGTAGATTTTTATTGAGTGTTCAAGTTTCAAAAATTTCAGTCTTTATCTATGGTTTAAGTGCTGTGTGGACTTTTGGATGATTAATGGGCAGAAAATGTAGGATGGGGCGCCAGCTTGCCGAAAGCTGGTAAGAATGATTTCTAAACTATCAATCCCTTCGCTTGCACTGAATATTTTTTCAAATAGCAACTGAAGTTTTGGGGATTCTTTACATTTGTTATTCTCTGCTTATTGCACTAAACACATTTTATTCTTTCTTTCCAGGTGGCACGATGCAGCTTTAGGTAAGTTAGGTGGCATTATGTTGCCCGTGGTTCCCATTTAGTTCTAGTCTTCATTGTGAGCTACGGAACTACGGAAGCTACACAAGCACGCTGCTGATGATGCTCTTTCTTTATTGGTTGTAACTACCTATATTGAACGTCACTGATACACTCATAGATAAAGACGAGTAGACGGATACACTGCAAGCGGTCCCAATAAAACCAATTACTGTCCACCTGTATGGAAGCCCAACTATGGGAAAGGTGACAGTTAACAATATCTCAAGTAAAAATACATATTTTGCTACATTATTTATTCTGGTTATTCACGCAAACTGTAAAAATCGTATATAGAAAAAAACCGATTTTTAGCAAATTCATTTTCAATCAACATTCGTTGACATTTGTATACATGTAAACGAATAATTTTACTTAAAATTTAAGTGAAAGGTTTACTTTGTTGCCACCTCTTCTCTTACCATAGCAGCTCCACAGATCAGTGGCTTGCCGGTAACACCATTGGAGCAAGACAATTCACGCCCCCTGCAACCTATTAAGTAAAAAGTTGGTATTCAGCTGAAGTGTGCGATTGAATAAATTGAATAAATGGTTGCAAATAAACTCATTTTTAATCACCATGATTGATATTCCGAAACAAGCGGTTTTGATATTCAGGGGTTTTGAAGCATGTAAAAATAGTTCTTTCAACAATATCTAAAAATCAGTTAAGCGGATTTTAATGAAATGATCACAGGTTGTTGCTAACTAAAATAGCCATCTTTGGATAAGTCAATTATAATTGATACAGTATTTCTAGGAACGTGTAACGGGGAACTGGTTATTTTCATGAATCGGCAGAAATGTTTTTCTTTCAGACATGTTTAAACAATAAAAAATAATTGCCTGATTATAATATTATTAATTCGCATAATTATGGAATACCCTTTATAATAATATAAGCAATTTCATACATTTGTGATATACATAATTTGAAATGTAGATCTTGGTTGACAGAAGTAGTTACATCACAAGCAAAAGAATAGCGTCCCAAATCACAGACAGAAATAGGTAGGTGAAAATGTCAGTCAGAAATCAGTCCTGGCCTTATAATATTGCTGTTTTTTTGGAAATGATGCCAACAGACGATGGGTTTTAAATAGAAACCGAACTTTATCCATTTTTACACAGAAGCAAACAACAAAATTGGTGTAATTCGAATAGAAGAGATATTTAGAAAAACTACATTGTTAATTTACTAACAATGTTTCTGATTTGCATCTACCTTGGCGAAGTTGGTATTTATTTACGTCGGGTGACAACACGCACTAGAATTCAATCAGTTCTTCTTAACATTAAAGCGACCATGAACAAAAAAGCAGTGCATGTCTTGGAGCAACGGATAATAATTAAGTTTCTGGGCAATGAGGGGGGTGAATGAATCAGGTATATTGCGGCGATCCGAGGCACAATTCGTCGATAAGATCCTGTCAAGAACCCGTGTCTTTGTGCTCTTTTCTGTTCTCGAAGGAAGAAAAACAGAAACTTGGCTGTGAAACGTTGGAGCATCCTAAGTACAGTTCAAACTTGTCTCTTTCTACCTTTCACCTTTTTGATTTGAACCCCTGAAAGAAACCAATGGCGGTCACCATTTTGACGGTGATTAAGCGATAGAGGGGTTTCAAATGTTAATTTGTGAATCGTTAACTTCTAAGGATGGAGGATTAGACATGCTAAACGTAGAAAGTAGAAATGAACAACGACGTCTGAATTAGGAAGAATGATCAAGAATAAGCAAAAGTTTTAACTATTATTAAAATAACAGTGTATGTAAACCATACTATTAGAAAATATGCATTAGTGACAAAAGTAGAATGGTAGAATAGACCGACATATTTGAATGTTTCGAAACAAGATATTGTGGATCTGTGTGTTAAAGAATTTTTGAGTTGATTACCAAGCTTTTGGAAAATGTATTTTTTACTACAGGATTTAACTTGTACTTTATTTACTTGACTTTTAACGCGTCAACCTTGCAATATTTTTTTTGATTAATTACAGAACGACGAAATCAGCTTAATCGCCATCCTGAACGCAACTTTCGAAACTTTGGTAATTAATTCAGAAGCTTTTCCAAAGACCACAAGAGACCGATCTCTAATATCTTCTACGTTTAAAAGTTTGCTAGAAACAGTAAAACTAGTATCTAGAAGGGGATTACGAGGATGATGGGAGATTCCGGCCAACCGATTGAAGACAGATTAACACAATTTTTCTTCGACCAACTCTATCGGCTGTATTTTAGCCATTATCAGCGCTTTGGAAGTAAACATATAACTCTGAACAAGAAACTTACACTTTGGCGTAATTCAAACGAAATAAATGAAATGATGACTAAAATTTAAATAATCTGGCAGTTCCAATTTCAATGTTTCTTATATTTTAGCTATGTGTTAGCAATGATTGGCATTTTATTCTCGTTTCTTCGAATTGCCATTTTATACGGTTGCAATACGACGAAGTTCCTTCCTAGGCCAATGACAATCGATAAAATATAGCCGTATCGTTGACACAAGAAACATTGTTTTGTCACAAATAATTGACTGAAAACATCAACGTTCTCACAACACTTTAAATCTGATTTTGCCAATAAGATTTACAAAATCAGTTCTAAATCAAATAGATTCAACTGGTATTCTTACCTCCTTTACATCTTGTTCTCTTTTTGTTTCGGGACCTGCCGCATCACTGTTTGAACGGTCACACAAGGTTTCTTGACTGATGTCCTTAGAATCCTCTATTTTCAAAGGAGCAATGGGTTCTATATTATTTTCTTTAAGTTGCTTCAGATATGCGCTCCTTTCTTCTTGAAGTTGTCTGCATAGTTTTTGTAACATTAAAATGCGTTTCTCCAATGCACCTTGCTCAGTAGATAAAGTCATGTGTTGCTCCGACAATACGATCAAGGAATTTACACTGGATTGCCATTTTTTCTTTAGATCATTTCTTTCAGTTTCAAGAGTATGAACTTGCTTACTCATTTTCATCATTTCCTCCTTAAGGCTGTCAAATACCTGAAACAATATTAATATATGTTAATCAATTTTCAAGTTATTACAAACTGGATTAGATAGATCTTTTCAAAAAAACGTTTTGCAAATGATCATTACCTTACTGCTCTTTGACATGGTGCTTTCAAAATCATTGTATTGGCTCTTGTACAAGTCAATTTCAGCTTCGCGACTTCTATACTTCTCCGCAAGCAAGACCAGCTCTCTTTCCTTTTGCTGCAACTGCAATTCGACGGCCTTTTTTTGAGCTAAAAAGGTTTGCCTTTCAGCTTCATGTTCAATTTCAACTTTCTTGGCTTGAGTTTCAGCTAATTTCTTCTGTAAATCGAGTTGTTTAGTGACCGTTTCAATGTGATTTTCTCTTTGTTGATATTGTTCATAAAGTTCAGTCAATTTCTGAGTCATATTCTCGTTCTCCTCTTTCACTTTATTTGACTTGTCTTTACTTTCCGTTATTAGGTTTGTGAGTGCATTCAATCGCTCAGTGAACGTGTTAGCTACTTCCCTTCTTCGATCTTCTTCCTCTTTTATTCTAGCTATATTTTCCTCCTATTCAAACAATTAGAACACAATTAATATATTGATTTACATGTAACAACGAAATGTTTTTAGTGGACAAAATGAGTTTTCAGTAGGTTTACGAGATTCAAGCACACCGTTTGCCAATGCACAATGTAATACTCTATCTGAGTCAAAAATCTAAGAAAATCTGTGTGCTATGCTGATTAACGAAAAAAATGCAACATGCAAAGATGAACACAGAGCAAATTAACGTATATAATATGTAAAAAATGTACCTTAATAAGTTTGTTTTGCTTCTGCAGTTCACGACATAGACTTTCCAGTTGTCCCCTAGCTAAAATACTTTTGGTGAGTTCTGCACGGTCTTTTTCATGTTCTTTTAGACATTGGGAGTATTGCTTTTCCCTGGCTTGTAAATTAGCATTGGATGCCCGATTCTCATTGTATAATTCGTTATAGGCATTTTCCAAATGTTGAAGCCTTTCTTCTAAACTCATATTGGTCGTGATTTTAATGATGTTTTCCCATGAACGTGGGTCGCGTTTTCTGTAACGTTCATCTTTCTTTCTCTTGGGAACAGCTACAGGAACAGGTACTGTTTTGTTTACTGGAGTACCGTCGTCTCCCATGATATCAACTGCAAACAATTTTTCTCTCTTTCAAACAATGTATCTAAGTGTACGTAAGACAAACGATTAAAAATATTTCATTCATTTCAGGAAGAAACTGCACTAGGAAAGTGTTAGTAAGGAAATAACAACGTAAACAACTTGTTTTAATCGAAATCCAGAAGGGTCCAAAACTAGATAATACCCAACATTTGATTTAAAATCAATTGGTTTTCATGAATACTTTCGAAGATTAAATGGCTGATCTATTCATGAAATACATGAAAAACGTTTATGACCGATAATAATTATAGAATTTATATGAAGAAAGCTATTAGGTAAATGGCTAACCAATAACGCAAGAGCAAGACCATTGGGACATTGAAAATACAAACTAAAACATTAACATACCTTTCAAAACGCAAGTAGGACTTTCAATTCAATATTATGATTTAAATGTATATATTTACCGGTTTACATTCTTTTAAACTTACAGATTTGGTGAGTCTCAGAAACTTCAATAGAGTAGGTGTATTATTGTTATGAAAAGGGTAAATGGTTACCGCCAGTGTTGCCGGACCAGAAAGACGAAAGTCACGAAATGACCAGAGAAACTGGAATAAAATAACAAAAAATGTTCTTACTTTCAAAGGATTTTGGAAACTGTTTATGCTCCTATGGAAATTAATTAAATCACTATATATCCATAAATATATTCAATTGACTGTGTTTGACACTTTTATAATAACTTTAATCGTACTGATTTAGGAAAATACATGAAAAACAAGAATCTCAGCCGGAGCAAATTGTGTCATACTAAAAATTCAAATTAAAAAATCAATCACCATAGTATTAAAAAAATCGAAAACTCTGAAAATTTTGGACAGCACTGCGGACTCGGTAATGCTGCTACAAGGGTCTCAGGTGAAAATGACATTTACCTTCTATGTTGCCAGTTCTATGCTATTTAAATGAGAGGATTGACATTTTTCATTAAAAATACGCAATGATGATATAATCACGATTTCTACGAAACTAAGTTTCGTAGTGCACGATCTCAGTTTTTGAAAACTTTTTTTGAAATTATAATCGGACTTTCGGTAACGCATACAGGCCTGTCGGAAAACGACGCACTGCAAACTTTGCATTACAATTTTCAGAAAACTAATAATTCGAAAGCACTCGCCTTTTTCATACATAAAGAACGTTATAATCCATACTTCGGCTCAAAATTTTAGAGCTCTAGCTCAAAAAATGATGAAGCTATGAATTTTCGAAAAAACACCCAATTTTCCGTTTTTCCCTAAATTTCTTAGAACCTAATTATCCGACTGAGGCGATCTACCTCTCATTTTGTAGATATTTTTATTCTCTACAAATCATCGGGACATTCCGATTACTCCATTAGTTTCAAAGTTATAAACAAGAAAAGACAAAAATCGCGTTTTTTGCAATAACTTATTAATAACTAACATATGGACCGAATGCGAGTGAAAAACACATACCTATTCAGCTGCTCATTATCTTTGATAGAATCGTACAACTGGTTTGCTACTAGTCTGTATGTCAAGCAAAAATGCTCTACAGCTTGGCCTAATGGTAGGTATAACGTCTGGATAGATCTTTTTTGAAGAACGATTGTACGGACATCTGAATTAATTTAATTTAAAGTTCTATGCGGAGCATTTCTCCTTAACAAACAATAAAGCGTCATTCGTTTTTCAAGATGAAGAATTAATCGAAAAATAGGAATCGCCACGCAGGAAGTGCAACGAGTAGATTACCCAAGATTTGGAAATCTTTAATACAAAAATCACTAAAATGGGT